CAGGGGGTGTTTTGCTTTTTAACAGCCTCTTCGGGCAGACGTCTTCTCCACCTTCCCCCACCTCCACCCCCACCGTCCACTCTAACTCCAAATCAAAGCATGGCCGGTCGGATAAACGATTGCGAGCTTCTAACTTTAGCTCGAACTACAGGCTTACTCGAACTAAGACGCCTGCACTATAGGCTACAGTGTAGCGGGATAGCTGTTTAATATAAAAATTAAATTGAGAACAAGTAACACTCTCAGTTACTACACATTTCTTTCAAGATTTTAAAAATAAGAGTTTGAAGGGGAAGATTTTCAATCAGCTGACACTGGAGAACCCTCGGCATCGAAACTAATCAGTGAGATACATTAGAAGTAGAAATCATATAGATGGTGTTTTGTCCGAAAATACGATAATTTCTTACCTGTTTGTTAACATTTAGGGTGAATTTCACCCAGGGATTAAAATATGCTTTTTGGTTTATCCTTTCTGAGTATAATATCTTACCATGCTACCAACGAATAACAATCTTTAGTATTATAATTTAGCCCTAATGTTATTACTCAAATAACACCCCTTGGGAACTTCCTAATCGCCTGCAACTGGAAAGGGCGCCTTCAAAACTCCTAAAGATCCTCTTTCAAAGAAATGAAATCGAATTAAGAGGAATGTTCAGAGATCACTGCTCCAAAAACAAAACTTTTTCCTCCAACTGTAAGCTGATCTAAGCCAAAACAGTGTTTGCAAAAAAAAAATGAAATTATGAAAATAAAACCCTTCTTGGAAAAAAAAAACTACCATTTTGATGAGCCGGTTGCCATGACGACAGTTATCTTCATGTGTGAAAAGGAAAATGCTGTGGTTATTCGCACGGTGAAGATATCTTGTTCTCGAAACAAGATAATAGTGTTATTTGCCAGCCGGGAGGTCCGTATTGGGAAAAACTGTGCCCGAGGTCAAGAGTAGGCCTCAGGCGGTACTGAAGAAAGAGGTTTTTCCAAATACGGACCGACCTAGGCTGGTGAATAACATTTTTATTTTTCCCATAAACTTAACGAAATTCTTTTCGAACGAAACGAATGACTTAGGGCTGTAATTACGGCAAGATCTTCCATAAAATTAACAATTTCTGAGTGAGTAAATGGTAAGGTTAAATGTTTGAATTCAGTTTTGTCAGATAAAAGAAAAATCGATTTTTCGGCCTCTGAAGGTGGGAAGTAACCTTCAAATAGATCAGAGGTAATGCAAATTAAAGAGAGAGGCTTCACCGAAACACTGTCATTTGCGTAATGATAAGGGTGCCTTAAAAGGCTTCGAAACAAACTTTTAAAACTTCCATTATTTTTAGAAGTATCTGTTACAATCTTACTCGTCTTTTGCGTCACTCGGTCAGGTTGATGAATGAACGGCAAAGCCTTCACGATTCTCAAAACAAGGTAGTTTGTCGGAACTTTCTCAGATTATGGCGGCTAGATCATTGAAAAATCCGTCTTGCGTGACGTTCAAACTTTCCTAAAAGGGAAAGAAAACCAAAATACGAAAAGAAAAACCAAAAGTTACATATTCAGGGGCTTTGGTAATGGCCTTTTTCGCAGCTGGGAACGAAAATTAACAACTGGAAGATTTGCCGCAGGCCGACTTTGGCCGTTTTCCTGAAAGACTACTTCTTCCGGTAAGGACAGAGTCAATAAATGATAATTTTATTAATTGAAAATTACGCCCATTGTTTTGTTTGTAATCATGATTCAACGCGTTTTTCCATCTTGAGCCTTCGCTCCAACGCAGTGTGCGATTGTCGATTCTTTTAATTTCATTTATTAATGAAGGTGGCTTTTCTTGTCACTGAAGGGCTATTGTGTTTATATGATAAATAAAATCATACATGGTTGCCTCTAGACATGGAATTCCTTTTCTCGTGTTCAACTCGAAGAGAGATTCCATATCTACGCGCGCCCATGTATTATTCTCTGTGTAGAAATACACCCATTTTCAGAAAACGTTGCAATTTGAAAACATAATATATATATATTTTGTTTCTCATCCAAAAGGTGATGAACGACGCTTGTGTATTCCACATTAAACGAAAAATATCTCTTTTGTTATCGTTTGAGAGTCGCTGTTCATGTTAACTTTGATTCTTAATAAAGAATTTTAAATTAACTGGCAAACGAGTAAACTATAACACAGCCGCGGGTTTATTATCTTTTTATTCATCAATTCCCGTTCCTCACAATGCCTGCCACATGCAGCTCTTAGAGAGCTATACTTTATCGAGATTAAAAGTGACAGATCAATAGTAGGCAGTTGAAAATATCGATTTCAACAGTATCATACACGCCCAGCAGGAATTAGAAAACTCGACATCAGCAAGTTGCTTTCTAAAGCCCAGCTTCTTAATTTACTATTAATATTTTGAATAATCCCACCGCCTACCTAACTCTTTAACTCCCAAGATCTCATTAGTAATTCTCCATACTTTCTGCCATACAATTCTTACGATGTCAATTTGGAGAATTTGGTATTGGATTAACTAATAATCCTCAATTGATATTTTACTTTATTCTCATCACTTCTATGCTTGATATTGTATTGATATTGTAAGGAGAGATTCTCTCTTAGTCACTCATGGGAGGTAAAAGGGCTAAGGAAATTGGAACAATATTTGACAACTTCAGCTGGAAGCTTTTATTAGTACTAGTTTGGCTGAGCGGAGTAGTGTTTCAGAGCTAGGTTCTTTGACTGTACGTTGATAAAAAAAATGTTTGAGCGACAGAATGGCAAATGACACTAAAAAGAGATGTAATATCCATAGTGAAAAGAAGTTTGTCTTGGCCAAGGAAATTAAAGTCACGAATAATTTCAAGTGCGTGTTGGTTGTCTTTAATGTATGATGGTCCAGTTTTGACGATAGGAGCCATAAATGTACTTAACTCTTAACTTAACTCATTATAATTTTTTAGTATTTCCTTCTCTAATTGTTACGACTCGTTTAATTCCAAAGGTGTACGATGACTGTTTGATCGAGTAACATGTGTCTAGAGCTAATTGTCCTGAAGTGTTATTACACCTTTCGTCTATCACTAATGAAGATCATCTTTCGTTGAGAAAACACAACTTCCTAGTCTAATATTGTAGAGACTTTGAGTCACACAATAAATTTGTTAAAACCTTAACAAGCGTAAAACTGTGCAATTCTTGCTATTTCAACGGGGAAATGCATGAACAGCTGCTACGTTTTTTGATAAACAGCCATTTTCTTGACGGTTTTAATTGAACCTGAAATGTCTTGTCTACCTGCACCACATGACTCCTTGAATGTAATTACCACGAAATACAAATAACTTTTCAGCTGCTGTTGTTTGGTGTTGTTGCAAAAGGTTGAGTTCCTCTCCTCTGAAACAACGCATTTTATTCCGAAAAAACATACCATAATTCATCTAGCCATAAGTTTATAATGATTGACTCGTCGGCAGGGAACAAAACCTTGGAGAATGCGTCTTCATTCACAAGAAGTCTTCCTTCCAAATCAGAAGGTATCGCACTGTGCAGCGCTCTTATTTTATCTTCTGTCCTAATCACTGCAGGAAACTTGCTCGCTCTGGTTCTCTTTGCGATTACCAAACCACTTCGTAGGAAAAGTTTATTCCTAGTTATGAATATGGCGTTTGCTGATTTGATGTTAGGAGCCTTCACTCTGCCCTTTTACATTTTCTTTGTCGGGAGATACTATCAGCTTTGGACAGCGAAATATGACTTTGACAACAGGGCCTATCAAATATTTTACACAAGTTTCGATAACATGCTTTTGTTTGGCTCGTATATGTCTGCAGCCT